TCATATTTAATGTTATCAGTTAATTTCCAAAGCATTGTCATGGATTTGTGGAAGTACCTATGGTGAGCAGCCTTGTTTTCACTCAGTGAAACTGTGCTGTCCCCCGCTCTGTAGTAACCAAAAAAATCAAATCTTTACTTTTATTGAAGCTGCCCAGCGCGCTGCTGCTGATGCTGCTGCTGCTGTCTGTCTGTCTTGCGCTCTGAGGTCTCCCTCTAATGGTGGAAGTGGAGGGCTGGAGCAGCTCTGTAATAACACTGGCACAGGGCCTCATTAGCATATCAACAGCCGTTTGATTTCCCCCCCTTTTGTATATGTGTTCACACCACATCAACACCAATGGACATGGAGCGCACAGGTAAAAAAAAAAAAAAAAAAAGTCCATAAGTACATGTTTGTTTATTGTTTCTGAGGTGTTTGCATTCATGCATGGGGCTCCTGCATGCAACCGGGACGACTTCTTGTGGGATTTTTACCTTATGAATTATAAATCTAGAACATAGACGCAAAAAGTAACTAAAAGCTGATCGGTAATATTGCGCTTTTTAAATTTTTGTATTAGTTTAAGTGTATTTAATGTAAATTCCCAGCCATGTTTTTTAATCTCTAACTTCCAAGCTGTTTTTAATCCCACTGAGAGTGTGGCTTTTCCTTTCATGTTAAAGGTGAGCCATTCCAAACAGCTCTGCAGCTTCATTGACTTTACCTGTAAGGTAGCAGGGTTTAGGAGGGGAGTGTAAATAATTAACACAACAACATGGCTCCTGTTTCATTTGAATGAGCGGCTACTGGGAGCCTGGCTCTGCCCTGTCGCCGGCAGAGCCCCTCACCTCAGCAGGTCGCGGGTCAGCAGACAGGTCGACGGCCTCCTTTAAGGCGTTGTCTCCCCTCTTTCTTTTTTTTGTGCTTTTAACCAGCGGATTACCATTTTTGGTGGAGCACCCTGTTTTTCTTTCAGGCATTTGTTATTAATGAATCCAAAGCGGCTGGGTTTAAGCGAACGAAACCCAATTGATGTTCTTTTTTTTTTTTTTTACCCTCGATCAAGAGTCCAGGTCGTGTAGAAAAGGTCAGTTTTTAATAAAACTTTTAGATATCTGCAGAATAAGAATACACAAAACTGAATGGTGGAGTTTTTTAGCGTTAATCTGCAGCTGGCACGGATTGAGGATTTACTGGTTTATAGAAAGTGTTAAAGAAATCAAAGAAATGCAACTTGAACAACTTTTACTTTTTCCGATTAAGGAGTGCGTTTTTATGACGCATAATATGTAGGAACATTTTAAAAGTAAGAATAAAAAGATAAAGACTTATGTATGCATTAGAATAATCCTGAAAGAAAACTTCAAAAATAAGAATAAAGGATGTTAAACAATTTTGTTTCACCTCGTTTGAGAAATCTAACATAGCAGAAGACCAAACCAGATTTTACAGATCAACTTCATGCCACAACAAGCTAACACTTTGACACATTTAACGGATTTCTTTTTTCTCTCTCTCGCTACAGCCTCTTTTTCCTATAAGGTATAAGCAGCACATACCTGCCATTCTCCCATTTTGCCCATAATTGACATTCTTTGTCCTCTGTTGCCTGTGGTGGGTTTGGTCGCTCCGGTACCGTGTCTATCTCATTGAGCCTCGGGTCCCAAAGTAAACCTTTCCCCCTTTTTTTTTTTTTTTTTACTTAGACCTGATCGCCTCACCTGGCCGTAAAAAAGGAAAGCCGTGTAGGCCCACCTGACGCATGCGCACTGACGCGGGTGTGGACAGGCAAAAGCCTGAAGAAGGCAAGGAATTGGTTGAATGCTGAATAAGTCAGAGCTGTCAGACTTTGAAGGAAATAATTAATTAATCACAAATGAAAAAAAATAAATATATATATATTATTATTATTTTTTAAATCTTTTTTCAGTCTTCAAATTAAAATTAAGACTAAAAGTCTCATTTCTTCTCTGTATGGAAGTGCAATGCATCCTAATTTGTAGTGCTAAAACTGCAGAAACCTGCATAAAAATGTAAAACTTTTATTGGAGCTTTGCACTGAGTGAAAAAAAAGACTAATAAAGAGTCTTTCTCTAAGTCGTTTAGTCTTCCCCTTGTTGTTTTATTATATGATCTGTTTTGGTGTAAAACATGAATTCTCTCTGCAAATGAAACTGTGTCAGTTTAAAAAGAAGAAAAAAAAACTTGAAGGTTAACTGCCAGCATCATTATTACTGGGGTGGGGAGGGGGGGTCCTGCTATTGTGAGGGTCATTATTTATTTATCCGCTGTTTATTTCTAATACATACTTATGTGAAGCCCTCGGGCTGAGAGCGAATGATCTCTCCCTCTTACACACTCGTTCACACTCACACACTCTCCCTCACACAAACAGTAGAGAAAGGCGCGCGCTCTTATAGGTGATGTTGTGGTCAAACGTTTTAAACCCCCCTTTCCTTTTTTTTTTCCTGTTCTACACCCCAATTTCTTTAACTTGCTGATAACCTCATCCTGCTTCAAATATAGTCTATAAACCAACTGACTGCGTTTTTTAATATAAAACCAAGTTTTAGGTAATGCATTTACTCAAGTTTATGATAGAACTGAATTCTTTAATTATTAAATTTTCACTTTTCTGCTCTTCTTTTTCTTCCTCTCAGTTGCATAATTCCACGCGGAGTCTCTCTATAGATTTTTTCTGGTGTTAATATTTAAAACAAGATGTTTGACTTCAAAAGGAAACACGTTTTAACTACACACACGCACACACACACACAATACCTGCAGCTATATAGTGCAGACCTGGACAAAGAAGATGGGGGGGGGGTTTAGAGAGATAGTCCTGGGATCAGAAATATTGTTTCAGGGTCTACTCAGGAGAGGAATAACTTTTGAAGCGTAACCTTTAGAGGGTTGGCTCCTCTCAAAATGGAGCCGGGTCCCGTTTGAATATCCAGCCTGCATGAATGGGGCCTGCATGGCTGCAGGCGCTGCACACAGCAGGCACTGGGCCTCAGGTAAGGTCTGTCAAATTACCCGATCTGGTTAACAGGGGTAGGCAGAATTATTATTATTATTATTATTATTATTATTATTATTATTATTATTATTATTATTATTATTATTATTATTATTATTATTCATTTAATTATTAAAAATATTTTATAATTTGATTATCCAATCTGTGTTTCCTCCTTTCTATCTCAATGTCATTTAGTTTATTATTTCTCCATTTCCAAACACATGAGCACCTTTCTCCTTGGTGTGGAATGGAGCCAATGTGTGGCCTTTGACCGCAGAGCATCGGTAACCATCACGCCAATCGCTCCATGGCTGAAGTGCATTGAGTAATCAGAAGTCATTTTTTAACAAGTGTTGAAAATCTTATGAATCCAAACTCTGCTCTCTGTAGATAATTGAATTGTAGTCTAGCGCCACCTTTCTTCTGCAGAAGTGCGCGGAAAGCCAAAGGAGGTTAGGCTATGGAACCTCCTGATGAGATTAATCTTTGCATGGGAGCCGTTGAAATAATTTATTTCTCATTTAGGTAATCAATTGATAAGACAATAATTTGCATTTACTCCAAATTGTGTATAAATAAGCACCGACCACAGCTCTCTCTTTGTTTGTTTTTATAAACATTTGACTTAATCAAGAAAAAAATAGTTGGAACAGGATTATTCATTTTTCTTTTATGCATAAAACCCCATCATTTATTGCCTTTTTTCTTTATTTATCATATGGGAATTCTAAATGAGCGAAATGACTTTAAATAAAGGACGTTTGCGAGCTCAGATTCATTGCTAATATAGTCCTCTGGTGCCACCTCGTGGCCAATATAAGAATAACATTTAGCTTTTATTAAAAAAAAAGTAATCAACGCTTCTTGTCAAGTTCTTTTAATGTTACCATAAAGATTCCAGAAGAATATGATTAAATTAAGAGAAAATGTGGAATCCTAATTTGGATTTTGGTGGCGATGTACTGGATTTTTTTACCCAATGTCTACTTTTCACAAGAAGACATTCTTGTGAAAAGTCATTCTTATATTTCTTTTTTACTTTAAACATTACATTTTGGGTTCCATTGGGGTGGAGAAGGAGGGGAGCGGCAGGAAACAAATGTACACAGCTGGTGATGTTCCACTTGTTTTTTTATTTTTATCCAAAGACAGAATTATCACCCTCCATTAAACTCTGCAACACTGGAATTATATTAACCAAAATGTGTCCTTTCTGTTACTTGTGCAATTTTCTAGGCTATTTGCTCTTTTTACCTCTCCAAGAAACTGATTAGGTTTTCCTCAGACAAAAACATTAACTTACATAATAACTGAAATACATATGATAAGTCATGTTTTTATTTTATTTTTTCTTCTTCTTTATCTTGTTCTTTGTAAGTCATTTTTGCAAATGCGACTGTTTGATTATAACGTGGGCGATGGAAAAACCTAAGGCCTAAAAACGTAACCACTACAGTTAACTATTTAGTATAAAAATTAAAATCATTCATGAGTATTTGTTTTAATAATTTTTTTAAAATAAATTAATGAGCTAGTATATTTTTATAAATAATATCTTAATTTCTATTCTAACTTGCGTTATCTGAAGAGTAATGTTTCGGCTTGAAATGCCTGATTAACGCAGCACCGCCCCCTGTTATGAAAAAGCTACTCCTACATTTCCCATCAGCCACCAAATCAGATTCCGGCTTTTGTGCGCAACCTTAATTTGTTTCCGGCGGGAAACAAAGAAGGTTTGTGGGGACAGAGGACAAACAAGGAGCAAGGTTGGATCTCAGTTTATATTTATACATTTTTAAACATTCCTCTCTTGTCATTTTGAATTAATATGCCACTAAAAGTCACAATGTGTCCGTTGGGTAAATATTTTCTCCGTGTTTGTTGTTGTTCTTGTCAAATACTTGGGGCATAGCTCTGTGCAGCAGTTTATCTTATCTTTTAAGCCAAACGCGCTTACCTAACCATGTGTCCATCTGTTTATTGAGATGTCTTCCTAATAAATAACAGCGTGGACATTTCTTAGGTTATAATGTTTCCTTTGGTTCTCCTCGTTCACTTATTTATCTCTAACAATTCATTGTTATATGAGGACACAGACAGCTTCTTTAATAATGGCTCTTCCTTTGTAAGTAGAATTAGTGTCAAACAGGTTAAATAGGCCTTTTAATGTTTTCAGCATCAAGTGTTTTTGTGTTTTTCCGCTCATCCTCTGATGGGTTGTTGTTCCAGGCGCCTAACAACATGTCTGTAGATTGGATCGGATATGGATATGCTACTCTTGTGGCATCAGGAGGAGTCGTTGGTTACGTGAAAGCAGGTGAGAAATGTTTCATGTTTTCCTGAAAGCAAATCCAGTCTGTTCACTTTAGTGCATTCAGTAAGTTTTAAACCACTCCTGCATACTCCACCACTCTTGGACGAAATCCCTTAGCAAAAAGTAGTTTATTCAAGTTTACTAAAAGTGCACTAATTTCATACTTAAAATCAGGCAATGCACTTAGAGTTTACTTATTCTAAACAATATTTCATATACTTAACAATAGTATAGTCAAGTGTACTTGACTATACTATTGTTTACTTTAGTGTTTACTAAAGTATACTTTAGTAAACTTAAAAATGCCCCAATTTAGTTTGAATAAATATTACTTTAGCAATACTTCAAGTACACCAAAAGTACATTGTTCGGTATACTTAAGTATTCTTAATAGAATTGACTTCTAGTACTATTTTTTGCTAAGGTATATTTCTAATCTCTTTTTTTTTCAATCAAGAACAAACAAAAGACAAAAAAAAAACATGTGTTTTACCTTAGCACTGTTTTAACATTTTTCCAAATTAATTTCTCTATATCCATCTGTTTAGTTGACTAAAGAGTCCGCGATACAAATATGCACTACCACTGGAAAGTGTTTCCACATTTTTCATATTCAATAATAATAAATATTAATTGAACTTTCTTAATCTCACACTGGATAAATTAAAACTCTACATTTAACCCATCCCCTTGGGGAGCAGTGGGCTATAGTTGTAACTGTTAAATTAATAAAAACGTACTACAAGTGGTTAAAAAATCAAAATTTTAAATGTCAGATGTTGTTGTTTATGACATTAAGTCCTGAAATGTCCCAAGACTGCTTGAAGGTGGGATCTTAGTTTGATTTTATGATAAAGCTGATGAATTTGTTGAATGTCTGTTATGTGATGTTTTAAAGGCAGATGGTGGCAGCCTATTTATAAAAGTCAGTTTCACAACAAATTGAATTGCATTTCAGAGATCACTATTTATTTATAATATGGCTAGTTTAAGTGATATTTTGCTTTTCCTTTTTCTTCTAACAGTTTATAACAAAGTTAAAACATTTTCCTTTAGGTCTTATAAAGCATTTTAGTTAATGCATTAATAAATCACATGAAAACAAGCCAAGCGTACCTTTTCCTTGAAGACAAATATGCATCTTTTTAGGCAATAAAAACATTTTATAATACAGATGGATTCTAATTTAATAAAGTAAGCAAATGTTCTCAAAAAAATAAAATAAAATGGAGACGGGTTCATAAGTGTAGTGTTGTTCTCTCTCCCAAACACAGGCAGTGTCCCCTCACTGGCTGCTGGACTGCTCTTTGGGGGGCTCGCAGGTTTTGGAGCCTACCAGATCTCCAATGACCCCAAGAATATTTGGGTGTCTTTAGGTATGTGCAAATATTTTGAACACATATAGTAACTAATCATCTGATTGGGAATGGTGTCAGAGATGGGTCTTCAGGTTAACTTTTGTCAAAATGATTAATAAAATCCAAAAAGTAATAAAATAATTTTGTGAAAAAGTCTGAGTAAAATATATCTTAACCAGGTAATCAACTTTTTTTGTGACTTGGTTCATTAACTGTCATGTCTAATGATGCAGCTACCTCTGGAGCTTTGTCCGCCGTCATGGGGAAGAGGTTCTATGGGTCGAGGAAGTTCATGCCAGCTGGTTTGATGGCAGGAGCAAGGTTTGTTCTGAAATACATCTCTAATAGCGCAACAAACTACAGACAACATATCAGTGGGCCATGCAAAAAAGAGATTTAAAGGTGGTATTTGGGTCGACTGTCGCAAAGGATTTTAGATAATCAGTAATGGTTGTTTTGTTTTTGTTTTTTTCCAGTCAAGTTGTAGTACATGTCTTTTTTATTTTATTTATTTATTTGTTTAGAAGTGTGAATTTCTCATTTCAGCCTGCTGATGGTGGGGAAGCTGGGTTTGACGCTGCTCCAGAAACCTGCAGCGTCCTCATGAGGTGAAAGCTCTTCAAGAACAGTCTTCAGCTGCAGTTTGGTCATGTTTTAAAACAGCCTCTCAGAATTGTACATGCACTGTTATTTTGGTCAAAAATACAAAAAAGTTTGATGATAAATGTCTTGTTTTTTTATGAACACTGAACTATTAATTTATGAATATAAAATTACAAAAGGTTTCATTATTTCCTTGTATAATACAAATATCTTGGAGTACTTTGACTGATTTATATTTTTCCTTTTGGAATTAATACTGTATCTGCTGTGTGTAATTCAAAACAATTCTCAATAGATCCTGAATGAATGTGACCAAAAGCTGCCAATCAGTGAGATTCCCCCAAAAGGCAGACCACCAGAGCTAAGAGCTCCAGCTCACCTCTACAATAATTTGTTGACTGCGTAAATGACAACATTAAATCCTTTCCCACTCTTGGTGTCAGAAAAAGTTGAACAAATTACACAGTAATTAATGAGCAATAACTGATAGGTAATTAAGAAACTGCAGCCCATACATCAGTAGATTTATTAAATTTCAGAAGGTGAAATATCTGGGTTTCTGAAACAAAAACAAAAAACCTGCTGGTGGTGGGGAAGCTGGGTTTGACGCTGCTCCAGGAGCCTGCAGCGTCCTCGGGAGGTGGAAGCTCTTCAGCTCCAGTTTGGTCATGTTTTAAAACAGCCTCTCAGAATTGAACATGCACTATTATTTTGGTCAAAAATACAAAAAATTTTTGATAAAATGTAGTTTGTACAAAAAAATTCAAGACTTGTTTTTTTATTACACTTTGAACTTCTATTAATTTATGAATATAAAATAATTACAAAATATTTCATTGCATGATACAAATAATCTAGGAGTACTTTTACATTATGAACATTATGATCCTGCTACCTGCATGAAACATTGCAAATCTCTGAACAACAAATGTACAAAATAAAATTTAAAAAAGGTTTAATTTATAACATGCAAGCATTATGCATTTGATTGGGTTACACTGGATCACCCATGAATACTTTGAGATTTCTTCGTAGACAGTAACACTCTTGGCAAACATGTTCGACCATAGGAAGTATGTTTAGTAGCAGCAAAGTTGAACTCCTCTTGGAAAAAAATATGCATCCAGGTGCTTAGGATTTAAGATGGCTCCCAAGCACGGTGATCAGTTGCTGCCACCTGTTTTTTTTGGATAATCACTTTCTGCCGTACTTGGCTGTCCAATCCACCCTGCCGTGGACCGGCTGCACACCAGGAGCTCGGCTCAGTAGGCTACCAGGAGTTTTCTCTAGCGCTGAAAAGCTGCTGCCCTTCACCTGAGTCCTGTCTGCCCGCCGCTTCAAGCCTTCGTAATCTAAAGAGAAACGTTAGTCAGTTGTTTCCACGTAGCAGCTTACTAAAGTCACATTCAGTGGGTCAGAATATGATTAAAACGCTTATTTCAGTAACTAACCACCAAAAGTCTTCTATAGATGATGTACCACAGATTTATGTTTTCATCAGTTTCTATAATAAGGATTATTTTCTTCTTTAAAGCAAATGAAAACACATAATTTAAAATTAGAATATTTACATCAGATCAATAAAAAAAAACCCTTAAAAGGTTAATTTATCCTGACTAAACACATCCAAAGTTATTGAATATAACCCCATACTTTTTTATTGGTAAGAAGGTGTCTAAAAGAAAAGGTTTAAAATTGCTACTGTAGTTTTAAATGATTAAGTAACAGCAAATAAATAAAAATAAACCAACCACCAGAATAATTTACAAAGTTAGTACCTTCATTAGTTTCACTCAAAGAAGAGTTGGAAATGGGCTTGAGCTTTACAGGCTTATTTTCTTTTTTATGATCAGGAGGAGAGTTAGAAGAAAGAGTGACTAAAGTAAAGAAAGAGACAAGGTTTGGATGACTTTAGTGACTGAGATATATGAAGTGATGAAACAGGGAAAAAAAAGTGTAATTGACATGGAAGGAAGCAACAGGTGGGAAAGCGTTTATATTCGACAACAAATAACAGCTGAAAGTCTTACTGTAGTGCTGGCCCGCCAAGGGGGCGAGCTGGATTCTTTGTCCCGCGGCACCAACCTCTTTCTTTTGGAAGGTAGGGATGTAGCCACCTGAGAGGTTGTATTTGGTGCTAATAAAGTTTCCTTTTAGAGAAAAAACAGACAGTTAAAGGAGTTGGTTTTATATGTTGAGATTACATCATACAAGCATCACTGGTCTAGAAAAGAAAAAGAAAAATTGTGAGATAAAAAAAAGGAAAATGCACCAAAAAACTGAAACCATAGCTGTCCTACAACATTATTTCGCTTGTATCAACTATAAATGGCAAGTGGGGTATTTTCTTGACCATGACTTCATGTATGTTTCCGCTGTTTTTCAGCACTTGTTGAAGTCTTAACTTGAATATCAGGTTGCATATGCTGCCACAGTGGCTGTTAGTCATATTTTCATCTAAAACTATTCAATACACCATGAACAAAGTCCTGCAATTTTTACTAGTTTAGACAGTGATTACGAGATGTGCTACTGTTCCACACATAAACAGAATACATTAAGCATAAGCTAAAGATTTAGGAGGTCAATATCAGCCGCTAAGACTCCAGCTATACTGCAAGCTTCTGCTAGGTCCACCACACGTGTACTTCCTGACATGCAGACATTTTCAGGACAGAGATGCGCTCAAACACACACATACACACACACCGTAACACAGCCAAAATGTTAGGTTTTGTTTTTTTACTTAAGCACCTTTTAGAAGATCCGTTTTCTCCAGGATTCGTTCTTTGATAACAGTTTTCTCTGGAGTGCTATCCATAGATTTAGAGGCATTCTCTTCTAATCTCACAAATTGTAGAGAAGGAGAAGAAATGCATATGCATGCAATAAAAAAGCAAGAGAAAATGATTATAAAAGGAAATATGTTAAAATAGGAGCAAAGAAACAACAGGAGAAGAAAAGGTAAAGAGAGGTGAATAAACTTTGTGGATATTTAGGGAGCAATTGATTTTTAACAGACTGCATCTCATACATACATAATGAAAGGAAAACCTGAGGTGAAAGAAGGACAGCAAAGTAATGAGGTGGCTATTGTGTGACTGTCTACACAACAAATGATTTATAGATGTCTCCTGTCTTTAAAGCTGTGGACACTTCAAGAGTCCTGAACCAAAGACATTGGTGGTACTTTAGCCGCTAAAGAATAAAGTAGAATAGAAGTATGCGTCCAACAGTGGTGGAATTCAGGAAAGTTAAAGAGAAATTTAAGCATTCAGTTTCAAAGAAAAGTAAGAAAAAAATACAAAAGCAACAAAGTAAGAGGCGATAAAGCCCTAGGATAATTGTTGGACTACAGAAAGAATACAATTTACACATTATGTTGTGTAAAAGCTATCATCAGCCTCGTAAAAGGAAATATCTTGTGCAGCAGTCAAGCAACAGACGTGACCATTTTTCCCTTTGTAAACATTATTACATGTTAGAATAATCTGGGAAGCTGAGTTTTCTCCCCTCTGCACTCTATGATACATCACCAAACATGGCTGCATTAGCAGTCATTACCTGCATTGGCTCCGGCCACTCCTCCCCCAATAGGGCAGAGTGGTTTATTTACAGTGTTTGAGTTCTCCAACAGGTCCCGCAGTGTCATTCCCCTCAACCCCTTCTCTCCAGAGGGAGTCTGATTCTTGCTAATTAAACCTAAAAGAGAAAAATACATAAAAATCGAGTGTTTCTTCTTGCATTGAATACATGCAAATTGGAAATTGACTCCTTCACTGCTAGGAAACGCAAAGGCAGTGTAGTGATATCTAATGTCTTTTCATTGGTAGAATAACATTTATTATTACTTACTTTTTTTTTTTAAATGTACCGAAATACAGGAGGAGGCTTTTCTATGTCCGTTATTGCAACTATTTAATAAAATGCAGAAATATTTCCCTATTAACAGATTCATATCCAAACATTTCAATGTTTCGAATAGAGGTAGACGTATACATTCGCCAGCTGGTGTTTTGATAAAAGGCCAATGGAAGGCACAAAATAAATGTTTTACTCCTTAATTTTAGCTTTTAATGTTTGGGATATTCTGTGTTTCAGATAATCACAGAATGTCTAAGGCTTGTTGGAAAATGTGCACTGATAAGATAGGAGTGAGGGGAAGACTCTCTCATGTGGCTGATTATCCTGCACAGCAACTTAAAAGCAGATTAGTCATCTTATCTAAAGCAGTGCTAACCACATCAACTCCTGTTACTTGGTAGTGATAAAAGCTAAAATAAACAGTTACATATATTTTTAACATTTAATGACCACAAACTGTTTTTTTAACTGTGTTTGGACATTTTGTTTTAGATAATTTCTCATTGACTCTCAATAGAAGGCTGCCTATTTGTCTTACCTGGCAGGTAACGGGACTGGGTTAGATAGCGCTGCCGTGCTGCTGATCCAGGAATAATATCCGTTTGGCCAAGTTTAACATTGCTGGGTATTTTTGTTACTGTGCTGAATGAATATAGAGGTTTCTGCTCCTTGGATCTGTGTACAAATTAGATGATTAAAAAATAGCTGTTTTAGTTTGTTTTTGTTCAAAAATAAGCTGTATTCCTACAATCTAATGAATCCTGCAGCACAAACGTGCCTGCACCTTTTATGACATGATAACACTTACTGTGAGCAGTTCTCTTTAGAGCGCCTGGCCTCTTCTCCAGTCCCCAGGCTAGGCTTCTTAGAAGTGGAAGCTGCCGTTTCTGATTGGTCGGATTCGTCCCAGCTGTCCGATGTCTTGGAAACTGCCTGTCCCCAGCGACGTCGGCCGTTCTTTAGCAGCCCCATCCCGCTGCTCCCTATAACATTTTCACTGCCAACTGATGCTGTCTTCTGTAAAAAACAAAAATCTATATATTCTACGCAATTCATCTGGAAATAAAAGGCTGGAGTTTCATGAAGATACTCACTGCCTGGGTGACTCCATCTATTTTACTGTCAATCTGAGGCAGTTGAATCTGATGAATGGGTTGATGATGCTGATGGCTTTTAGAGGAGGAAGCTTTGTAATCTGATGATGGCTCCTGGGGATCTGGTTTTGATTCGGAGAGCTGCTTCTGAACAATTGGTCGAG